AAAAATTAACCATGTTTGCTGTTCATATGGCTTGTAATTGGGATGAAGTGAACATCTGTTGAGTAATTTAACATAAAATTGTTTGATAGTGTTAATTTGGAAAGCCAAAACTCTAGCGGGTCCACCAGACCCATGAACACTGGCTGAGTAACAAAAATATGAACACCACACAAGGGTTAAACAAATATACGAGTTGTGTTGGGGCTCACTTGAATGGCACTCAGATATTTTTTTGTTTTTCTTAAACAGATTGTACTTATATAGTGCTTTTCTAGAACAGGTCTCATTCACTCATGCACATTAATTTCTAAACCCAAACACTTCCTGAAATTCACACATTCACAATACAATGGATGCATCAGGGACAGCCCAGGATTCAGCACCATGTCCAAGGATACCACATGCAGACTAGGGGAGCCGGGAATTAAACCACAAACCTTCCAGCTATGAGACAACAAGCTCTACAAGTGAAACCACAGTGGAAACAGAATATTCACTGCTTACTGCATTTCAGCTTATGTTACATGTGCACAACAACAAAACAAGCAAGAGTTACCTGTCTTCTTCAAATGGCCTATTAGTAACAAGGTAGCTGCTTCAACAACCCCCAAGACAGCAAAATATCATGTGTTTCATATGCTTTCTGATATGGCACAGTGTAATTCCTGACCATCTTTAATGCTCTCAAAGCAAACAGTGCAGTAGAGCTCTTTCTCTATCTCAGCATGTAGTCATCACCTCTCACCTTTACCCAGCTTCAGCAGCTCTTTCCCAGTTCTATGGTACTGATCATCAGTTTATCGCTCTGTAGTACTTAGGGATGTAAGAAAATATCGATACAACGAAATATCGCGATATTTCGCGCAATGATACTGAATCGATATTTAAAATCACTGTTATCGATTTTTTTAATTGAAAAATGACATGCATTTACTGTTTATTTCTTTTGTATGTTGGAATTCAAACTCCGGCCACTGGTTTGCAGTTTTCACCGCCTTTACTATGACGTAAAAACGAGGTCTCGCGATAACTGTAGAAGCGTCTAGTTTGCCAAAAGAACGAAGTAGAACAGTCAGTGGACGTGTGTGATGCTAGCTAACTGATGACTGAAGAGGAGAGGATACAGCCG